CCTCCAAAGGGCTATGGTCCATGCACAGTTTGCATCTGGATTCAACTTTTGAAGGTGGGATGGTCAGGATTAAGTAGGAAGAAAAACTCTAAAAATGCTCTTGACTGGGGTGCAGACAGGAAAATAAACAAAGCGAGGCCACTGCGTTCATTTAGCACCTGCAACGACCCACCAAGTGTGTGGGATGGTAAATTCCACTGTCCAAGGATGCCCAGCTGGCAATGGTGGGCCAGGATTTGACCCCAGGCAGCCCCTGTCCAGGTCATGCCCACCAGCCCTGATCTGCTCTGGGTGTGCACAACCCTGTGGCTCTCTTCCCTCTTGAGGACTGTTTTAGTYGGCTTTTTTGCTACTGACACTAAGATATGTCACCAGAACAATTGTGGAGGAGGAAAAGTCTATTTGGGGCTCACAGTTTCAGAGGTCTCAGTCCATAGGCAGCTGGCTGCATTCTTCTGGGCTGGAGGGGAAGCTGAACATCAAGGCAGAAAGGTGTGGAACAGAGAAGCAGCTCTGGTGACCAGGAAGGGGGAGAAAGGGGGAGGGGAGGGGGGCAGGGGGAGGGGGAGAGAAAGACTCCACTTTGCCAAATGCAAATATATAGCCCAAAGCCAGCCCCAATGCCCACCTCCTCCAGCCACACCTACCTGCCTTCAGTAACCACTCAATTAATCCCATCAGGTGATTAACTCACTGATTGGGTTAAGACTCTCACAACCCAATCATTTCTCCTCTGAACCTTCTTGCCTGGTCTCACATGTGACCTTTCGGGGACACCTCATTTCCACACCATCACAAGGACTGTTTGGAGGGAATGGAGATCCCAGAGCAGTGTGGTCGCTGCTCCGTGGAGGGAATGGCCAGGCCTGTGTCCCAGGCCACTCAATTAGGCTTGCAACAGTGCTCATACCTGCACTCTGCGATCGCAGCCACCACACACGTCTACCTCTGAAATCCGTGCGTGGCCCACAGAGCGACCCGCAYGTCTGGATTGCCCAGGACCAGCCTGGAATCCTCTCAGTCCTCAGCAGCTGGGCTGGTGGGTCACCTGCTTGGAGAGCTCTCATGGAGCATTTGGAACCAGAGTCAAGACGAGGGCAGTGCGTGGTGCAGGGCTGTGTCACAGGCACGTGCTCCTGCTGTGGCCTTCAAGGCCCATCCCAGGGTGACCCATGGCAGGAATCAGTGCTGGGGAGGACCTGGAGCTCGCTACCTCCGTCGGCCGGTTGGTGTTTGATGATGATCTGCCGTTCCTCCTGCCACCTTTGCTAGTGCGTTTTCGTGTCTGCTCCTCCCTGGGAAGCACACGGTTGCCACAACTGTGCTGTCAGAAATCCAGTGCTGAACGTGGACCTGAACGTCTGAATCTCCACGCGTGACTTGCTCTTGAGAGTCGGTCCTCTCAAAAGGAGTCGGACACTGTCTCTGACCAGGCAAAGGCAGTGTTTGGGGATGAAACTGAAGGAATTTCAAGAACAGAATCATTTTGTACTTGTGGAGCAAGTGTGGCCTCTGGTCCTTGGGACCACCCCCCTTGCCGCTGGCAGAAGCAGCCCCTCCCTCGCAGGCGGAGCCCAGGGCTCCCTGGGGTCTCTAGCCAGCACCTGCCAAACACCTGCCTGCAAGGTCAGGCCACCAGGGYGCGCCTCTGTTCACGCAGAGAACTGCAGCCAAAGGGAAGGGGCCATGGGACCAGGACAAAGCCATCCCAGGGGTTAACCAGCCCGTCAGGTGGCAGCCCTGTCCCTCTGTAGGAGGAGATGACTGCGCACACGAGACGTCCGGCTCATTGGCACCTTGTRATTCTTTCTTGCTTCAGAGGGGCTCACCTGGCTGTGGTGGTGACAGGGTGATGGTCATTTGGGCACGGAGAGTGATGTGACGGGAAGATGACACTGTCCTTCTCTGTCATCTGRAAGGAACAGGGCAGCAGGATGGGACACCACCCTGCTGGGGGACCAGGGAGTTCCCCTCAGAGTCCTGGTCATGGGCTGGGGCAGGYGCTGAGGAGGGCAAGCCCACAGGGGGTGGGACGCAGCACTGGTGCCACCTTGGCTTGGGGCTGGCCTGTGAGGCTCCACAGGGGCTCAAGGCTGTGACCAGAGCTCCCGTGGGTGGGGAAGTGAGCCTGCCGGAAACGCCAGGGCAGGCGGCCAGCTGTCCACTCACTCTGCAGACTCGGCGCCAGGTAACTGGTGGACTGGAGCCCAGCTCCGGGGGTTGCAAGGGTAGTGCGCCACTCCTCCGCGCCACCAAGGAAAGACCCGCCCCATGCTGAGCTGACACGCCGCGAACAGAGCACAGGTGTAGCCTGCAAAGCTCAGATTTAGGACATTGTGGCCCCTCGAATAAGATGTTCCTGAAGTTTGGGGGAGTGCTTTAGACCGCTTTCTCTTGGTGGTCAATGTCGTGCRTTTCTGAGGAAAGGCACGGGGAGGTCCTCCGGGGACACTCATTTGCTACATTTGCTGCGTAGCCCTTTCTCCACTGAGCCCGCGGGACCAGAATTCCTTGGATCCAGTTTAGAAATACTGGCTGGGGGGGTTCACCAGTCACTGCAGACCTCCAAGGAAGAAAACCATCAGCCAACCTCAGGGGAGGCACTGGCAAGAGCAAAGCAGAGCCCTGGGCTCCGAGAGACTGGGATTAGGATAGAGCCAGGATCCTAGAGGAAGACCAGGGTATGCAGCGAGAACCCACGTGCAGAACTTGTGATCTCCACAGCGGAAACCTAAATCTGCACACTGGGACCGTGTGTGCAGGGAGGGAGAGGGCGAGGCCAGCCCTTGGAGATCTGGACACCAGGCTCCTCCTCCCGGGCAGGGTTCCAGGTTCTGTGGCCCTCCTTGGTCCTCCCCACTGCCATGATTGGCTCAGAACCACCTGCAGCAGGGTTTGAAAGTAAAAGGGCTCATTTTCTAAACAGTGATCCACCAGGCACTGTGCCAAGGTCTTTAGGTAGAGTATCCCGTCAAATCCRCACAGTGACCAAGAGGAAGGTGGTGTTAAGATCCTCCTGTTGCCCACAGGGAGGCTGAGGCTCAGGGAGGCTGAGCAAAGAGTAAACCCAGACCCGTGGCCCTAAAGTCATCTTCTTCAGTCTCCCAACCTGTTTACGTGCCTTGTCTCCGCAGATGGGGGGTGTGCTCAGGGATGTGCTCAGGAGGGATCCAGCCACGAGTCCACGTCTGGGTGAAGGCAAAGTAGGGCTGAGACGAGGTTCAGTTACTTCCCAACGATTCATTTATATAAGRTATTTTCTGTGCAACCAGGGGAATGTTCCAGGGTAACCTTATCCGTATTGTGTTAGCAAATCCATCAAAACCAATGCATTTCCTGTTGGAAACTGGAGGCTCGTGGTCGTGGGCCTGAGGGGTTTTTCTCTTCCCTGCGTAGGTCGGTCATGAGTCACAGAGACTTCATTTTCACACTTTCCTTTCCTTGTTCGTCTCTGACTTCAATTAAAAGGCAGATTGAGTCAGGCACGGACTCAGTCAATTAAGTGCTCATTAGACAYTAACTGAGGAAAAGGAACTGTGTCAACCACACTTAACCCAAGACACTGGGGGGTGGGGATTGATGGGGTCAGGGCCTCCTCGCGCCTGTGGCCATGCGGAGCTCGCTCAGCCTGTCCAGGGGTGAGATCAAAGGCCTGGAATCTGCCTCTGACGATCTGATGGAGTCCCCAGAGTAGATAGGCAAGATTGGAACTGGCCACCAGGACCCTGGGTAGAGAGCCTGGGCCCAGCATGGCCCACTGGAAGGACAACCGTGTTGCTGGGTGTCATCTTTCAGAGCCCGGGACAGAATGGGGCTGCACCAGCCAAAAATGCCCTAATCTTACCCTAGACCCGAATGCTTGCCCTAGGACAGTTTCAAGGGCAAAGCCACAAGRCAGATTTCTTTTTAAAGTGTGCCTTGAAGCACCTGGCTGAGCGACAACATCAGTGAAGCAGGACTAGCTACCATTCAGCTTTAGGGGGGCCAGATTCCCTCTGCTMCCCCCATCAATCAAGCCAAATGGCTAATAAGGGTTCCCATGGCGAAGAAAAAATAAAAGTGCTTTCATGATCAGAGAAGCATGTTCCGTAAGGAAAGGGACCTGCGGAGGGTTGAGCTGTAGGTGAACTGGCTTCCTTTGTGTACCTTCTACAGAGGATTATTCTGGCTGGAAGCCAGAGCYATCTGCTTCCACCCCCTACCGGTGAGGTCACAGAATGAGCCAGACATGGCACCACATAGACAGGAAGAGGAGCAGGCACACCTGTCTGATTGAGCTCTGGACCATGTTTCTCTGGGTACTTGTAATTGTGCTCTTTCTAAATTAAATCTTAGTTGCAAAGCATTACACCCACCTCGTGAAATTAACCAAACATCGCCTATTAAGCTAATGCCGTCCCTGCCGACCAGGCCTAACCCCAATCCCTTCTCTGCTTCCTCCAGTCAATCACTGTTACTGCCTGAAGTTCACCTGCACAGACCCTCTTTGCATTTGTAAACGTAAACTATACCTGCAAAAGAGATGCGCGCTGAGGAGCTTTCTGCACATWCGCAGGTTTGCAGAAGCCACGTCACTCATGTGGATAACAATCTCCAACCTGGTGCTTTCCACTTAGTATTCACCCTGGAGAGTTTTCCGTGTTAGCACTCCTGAGTGCCACACCCTGTTTTAGATTGCCGCACAGTACTTCGCGGTGTGAAGAGAACCATCATTTACTGTTTCCCCTCCTGTTGGACAGCTAGGTTGTTTTGTTTCCAAATTTCTTTTTYATTTTTGGTACTGAGGATGGATCCCAGGGGTGCTCAACCACTGAGACATATTCCCAGTCCTGTTTTTACATTTTGTTTAGAGACCRGGCCTCACTGAGTTGCTGCTAAGTGCCTTGCTAAGYTGCTGAGGCTGCCTTTGAACTCATGATCCTCCTGCCTCAGCCTCCCAAGCCACTGGGATTAGAGGCAGGCACCACCAAGTCCGGCTGTATGTTCCCAAATTTCTGATCATGACCAGTGATCTTTCCACGGACCTCCTTGCACAACCCCCTGGTGACAAGTGTGGGTACTTCTTGAGAGCTTTACTTCTAAATCGACAGCCCAGCTGTCCTTGAAACTCCATCTGCTCCTTCCCCTTCACACCAGCTGGGTGTGAGCGAGGCCCACGTCCCACCCCTTCTCAGCCCTGGCATGAGCACCCTGTGAGCACGCCTGTCARGGAACTGGATGCTGTTCCTGGGCCTCCTGTGGTCTGTGAGAGAGTGTGACCTGGAGAGCCTGTGGGTGTGGCTGCCACCGAGTAGGAGCCCAGGGACGCTGACTCCTCCTCTTTTCTTCTGAAGCAGCTTTGTGCGGGCAGTGCCCTCTGCTTCACCTGCTCACGGCTCCTCACCCCCGAGTGTCCACTGGACCACCTTCTCTGAGCCCCAGGCCAGCTGAGGCTGTGCTGTCTGCAAGTGGCCTCCTCAGTGCCCTTGAGGTGGTTACTGCTCACCTCTCCTGCTAAGGTCCAGCTCCAGGACAGCAGGGGGGCACCTTAGGTGTCTCCCCCCCCGACACCTGGCCCAGGCACCCACGGCCCGCACTCCATAAGAGCCCTCACCCTGAAGGCCACRGTCACAGAGCCACATCCCCAGTGAAGAGCCATGGAAACCAACAGGACATCAGCAGAGGAAAGATTAAGCCGTCATTCTGCTGAGCAGCAGCGATTTCTTTATTTCAGGCCTTTTACGGGATGGACGGGAAGGAGCCGAGCACTGCAGGGCTTGGGAGAAGCCTTTCCTTTTTAATTTGGAAAGTGATTGGCGCTGCATTGCATTGCCTGGGGGAGGGGCCCTGAGCATCACCGACCCTCCGTAACCGTCTTCCACCCTTGGGTCCTGCCCCTGCAGGGACCACGGTGATGCGGATGACAGCCTTCGACGCAGATGACCCGGCCACCGACAACGCCCTCCTGCGGTACAACATCCGTCAGCAGACGCCTGACAAGCCGTCTCCCAACATGTTCTACATCGATCCTGAGAAAGGAGACATTGTCACCGTGGTGTCACCTGCGCTGCTGGACCGGGAGGTGAGCTTCCTTTCTCATGAGAATAGAGCAGGCTCTCCCGGGGGGGAGACGGGAGCCAGATGCTCCGTGTGGTTGGGGCAGAGCTGCGGYGTCTGGGGGTGGTTGGCAGGGAGAGAGGATGCAGGGAAGCGGGCTGCGATGTGGCCTGAGGAGAGGCCTCGGGAGGCCCTGTGACCCGCGCCCTGTGCTCCTCAACCCCACGATGGCTTCCTACCCTCCCTCCTATTCTCTTGGCCCTTGTGGTACTGGACACTGCAGAGGGCAGCTGGCAGGGGGTGGAGGCAGCTCTGCAAGGTCACCAGGCTGTCCCCGTCAGCAGCAGCCAAGTCTCTCTTCCGGTCCCCCATCCTTCCCTTTAGGTTTTCTCTGAAATCTCGCCTGTCACACGTCACAGCCGGKTATCCTGGACCCCACCAGTCCACACGCCAGCTCTTGATTTTGCCCAGGATTTTGAAACTTTTAGAAATGCTGGCCATAGCAAAATACTTGCCTTTTATATTTCTTTGAAATAATTCCTGTTTCCAGGTTTTTTGAAASTGAGAAATTCTGGAAACCTTGGGCCAAACGTCCATACTCTACAATCAAGCACATGAGGTGTGACGGCTGCGGGGAGCTGGGTGTCAGCTGTCCCATTAGACTGAGCAGGTCCTTTCTCATCTAAATGTGCCCTCAGTCCCCGCCCTTTCCTGGCTCCAGGTCCACTGGTAGCTTGTCATCAGACACCCAAGTGGAGACCCCGTAMGCCTCCAAACACAGCACACCTGACCCAGCCTGTGTGTCCCCTCCTCCACCCGCCTTCCATCTGCCCGCATCCTGCCGTCCACGGTCCTGGCTCGATGCTCAGGCTGAGCCCTGGGAGTCACCTCCACCTGCAGCTGGCCCTCTTATTCCATGATCCCMGAAGGCTTCCCAGGGGCTCCGTGCGCTTCCCCAGGGCTCTGGATGAAGAGCAGACATGGGTGACAATGTCCCTGTATCCCCCTTCCTCCGAGTTCCTGTGTAGAGTTTCTTAGAAGATTCTGGGTTCCATCCAGCTCTCTGAGAAGCCATCCCCATGTTCCAAGTCACCCACAACCTGGCTGGTCCCRACTATCCCTGCAGCCAGCCCATGGCCTGTACTGTGTGCTTCTTTAAGTTGTAGCTTGTCCCTCTAAAGAATGTCCCCTTTGTCACGGGCTAGAGCTGCACCATCCAGGAAGTCATCGCTGTACTTGTGTAGATTAATAATCCGTGTTGATTAAGATGTCGACATCAGCGTGGAGGTCACCTGGCCCCATTTCAAGGCTCGGCAGGCACACGTGGCTGGTGACTGCTGTGGTGGACGATCCTATCACGGCACAAAGCTCTGCTGGGCAGTGCCGGCCCAGACTGTGCCTGTCCTAGGTGTGTCSGTAGCCCTCTCCCTAACACAGCGTGCGCTTCTCAGAATCCTAAYTGCATGTTTGTTGGCACAGAGGTACAAAGGCAAGAAGTAATTGGAAATGACCCTGAGATGGTTGTTGTCGAGGGCTAAGAAACAGCAGCAAGCAGCGGAAAATTATTGGAAGGGGAAAGAGAAATTTGCATTAAATGGTGGTTTTCACTTGGAAAATTTAATGGTTTCTAGTTAAAAAAAAAATAGAGAATTATTGAGGCCGTTTCYTTCATTTTGTCCCCCACCCTCTCCCCAGCCCTCCCTGTCTGACCATGGCCACGTTTTCTTCTTTGGAGGCAAGCAATGGCTTCCGGTCGGCTCCATGTCCTCCATCCAGCACACGTGTGTGCAAACACACATCACACACCATCTCTCTTCCTCCTTCTCTCTCTCTATTACACACACGTATACACACACACACACACACACACACACACACACCAGCTTCCCTCAAACCCCAGATTCCCGGAAAGGTCCTCGCAAGCTCTTCCCCTCCCATGGGAAGATGAACTGCAGTGATTTCCCCATCTCAGCTTCTCTTTGTTCTCAGAGAAAATGCTTTATGACTCTTTTTACCAACAGAAGTGGGGATGGAGAACCCTGCTGCGTTTGGTTCGTCTCCTTGGAGGACAGATGTGTTTCTGGCTCACACTCTTCTCACCTGGGCTTTCCTGGTCCCAGTGAGGGCGTCACCGTGGAGCCAGCGTCTTGAGCACCATGCGTCAGGGGCCCCCGAACACAAACACAGCTCAAGTGAAACTGGAAAATCAATGAGGACGAATGAAGGGTGTCCCTTTTCCCTGAGGGTGTCCAGAGTTCAGTGCTGATCCAGGCCACGTCCGTCCGCACAACCTGGGGGAAAGAAACGGGGATCTGGGGGCGTGGCTGCGGGTACAGGGCTAAGCGGCTCCACGTGGCTGAGCGTCCAAGTCCAGCTCCACGTACTTAAATGGACAGACCTGAACATGGGGTTTCTGGTGGTGTCCCCGCCGTTCCCAAGGCCGTCATCTCTGAGGCTGGGCTCCTTCCCAGGGAGTCCCATGGAGGTGGCAGTTTTCTTCAGCAGGACTGTAGAGCTATTTTTTGTTTTTATTTTTGGAGAGCGGCTGAGGAGGCATCCTGCCCTCAGTGTGCTTTTCAGAGTGCATCCCTGGGCCGCGGGGTGCTCAGCTCAGAGCTACGTGCCGTGCATTTTCAAGAGAACACTTGGTTGGGGGCCTGTGGACTTGGGCTGATTCCTGTGGCTTGTGAGTGTGGCAGCCCATCTTCCCTCTCAGATCTCAAATGGTGTGCATGGGTGTGGCCCGTGGCAAGTGTAGACAGAGGAGGTCCTCGGTGTGGTGAGAGAGGCTGCCGAGGCCCTGCGGAGGCTGTGCAGTGTTTGGGGAGTGGAGCCTGTTGGTTCCGGAGAGCTCTCTTGGTAGGTTGTTGAATTTCCATGTTGATTTCCCAGGAGTGTGTTTACTTTCATGAGCCCTTGACCCAAGGAGGGACCCCAGCAGGCGGTGTCTCTGCTCAGGGGAGAGACAGAGATGACCCACATGTCCAGGGAGGACACAGCTGCTGTCCTTCCTCCTCCCATGCTCCCACTCCCCAGGATGTCCCACCTGGGCCAGTGTCAGCAGAAGCCCACCCTCATTTGCTCTGCTCCCCATTCCAAGGTCAGGAGGAGAGAGGTTCTGTCCACCCTGTTCCTGGCCTAGTCCCAGCCCTTAGCATAGGAGAAATTCCTGGGGAAAAAATGTTTGTTGAGAGGAGAAAGGAAGGAAGGATGTGAGAGAGGGAGTCCCATAGGTGAGTTGCAAGATCAGCTGAAGCAGTTCTCTATTCTCCTCCACGTCATAAACTCATCTTGATGTCACTAACAGACACCATGTCACTCACAAACCAGGTGTATTTTCCATTGCAAGCTCATCATACGCTGTATCTGAAACCCTACCACTTCCTGAGGCAAGGGACCTTGGACCTTTGTCCCATAGACCTACTGCCATTGCCCTATATAGTGGCAGGCATGTAATAGCCATTTGGTAAAGATGTGATGGATGGATGGATGGATGGATGGATGGATGACCTATGTTCCTCCAGTTTGCATTAACTCAGAACATACCACAAGACCCACATTCTGGTTGGATATATAAACAGAAGATATTATCTTAGTTGAGAGCTTTGTCTTATCCTTATATAACCAACCAATAATCTAATTTATTCGCCTAATACCTATCCTGTGCCAGGGACAATAGTAAGCTCCAAGAAATAGTACTTGGTCTGCAAAGTGAGTGGTTGCACATGAGGATCTGTGCCTCTTGCTTAAATATTTGGGAGAAATGTTTGTAGAAAATAAGGGCCATATATCCAAGTAAATGAAACTGGGTTCACTCGAGGTACTGTTTTACTCTTTCCTATGGCCATACTTAGCCACTCCATTCCGGCAGCTCTGTCTATGTTTTTAAACTATGTCTGACTGCACTACGAAATAAAATCAGATAAGGGTCTCTAGCGTTTGATAAATGGCTTATTTAGCTGATCCTCTTGGCTGCTAGAGTGAAATTCATCAGCAGAAATCTGCCAACTTTTCCAAACACAACCACAATTTTGCAACTACTCAGAGTAGCTAATGGCCGGGGTCTCTGTTTCTTTTTTCTTTTTGTTTTTTTTTTAATGGAAATGGATTCCAGGAGAGGCCTTCAAAAGCACTGGCTTTGCTGTTTGCGTTGTGTGAGTGTCATTAGTCCCTCAAGGACTCGGAGCTGAGCACTCCCCTCTCTTTGGATCTGTCTTTACCTTATTGTGTATCATCTTCGAGGTAATCAAAGGGAGGTGACAGCCAGCCACCAAAATGTACATGTAATGAAAGACATCGGCACCAGCATTGCCACTCGTTGTCTAGTCTCAGCTGGAGAAGGAGTTTCTGAGACTTCACAATGTCCATGTTTTAGGCTAAATATGAAAATTGCAAGAATTTTCTTGTGACATRTAAGGCTTCATGTGAACATTCATACACATTTATTTGCCATGAGATATTCAGGAGTTCTCGACTACGTCAGAAAAGGAAGCGGAGACTCTTAAGGGAACTTCCCCTGCAAAGTGGCCAGTGAACTTGGAGGGAAAACCGCAGTCAGAGGAGAACGAGGGCTTGGTCCAGGCGATTCACAGTAAAACAGCGCCCTGCGGGCGCACCCCCAGAAACACACAAAAGAAATCCACAAAAATGATATCAAAAAATCAGAGATCACATTATCACATCTCCCCTGCTCCTCAAATAAAAATTAGAAGTAGCAGTCATATTCTTGGGGAAATAAATGTTTGGGGCTGCTCTAATCCAACACTACACTTTTCTCATTATCGTCGTATTTAAACGTTAGCGGTAATTACACACGATTCAGTCGCGCTGTCAAGCACGTTCTCTGTTCTGGTGGGAGGGGTCAGAGTTAGACAGTGCCACTTCTACATGCTACTTAGTCATAGATATTTTTGGTGGGATAATTTTCTCCATTTTTTTTGAATCACTTACCGAAAAAATAGAGGAAGGAAAGGTAGAAGTAAACAAATTGTTGTATTATTTTTATAATAATGTATTGTTCTTGCA